GTGTCCCCGCACAAACACGCACTTTCCCCCGTGTCCGGCACCCCCGCGGGGACGCGCTGGCAGCCGGGGCACGTCCCCTCCCTCCGCTCCCTCGGGCGCCCTGCCCTCCGCCGCGCCGGGTGGCCCCGGGCGCCCCCCCTGCCTCGGTGCCCCCCCATCCGCTCCCGGGGCGCCGGAGGCCGCGCTGAGTGCCCCGTCGGGTCGGCCCCCCCGCGGGCGCCTCTCCCCGGCGGTGACCATGCCCATTCCCCGCCGCAGGAGGGGATTACGCAAGGCAGCCTTCTCCTCATCTGCATACACTTACAAGCCGGGTATTCCCCACATTTCCTAACGGCGTGTCACCGACAAAGGCCTGTCCCCGCCGTGTCCCCCTCCTGCGCCGGCTCAGCGGGAAGGGCCGCCGGCCGTGGTGCCCCGGGGACGGTGCCGGTGCCTGCCAGCGCCCGGAGCCGCCGCCACAGAGGTGACTTACCGGTCCGGCGGTTTTACAGCCCCGCCGGCTTCCCCCGCCGGCGCCCTCCCGCCGCCTTGCCCTCCATTTACCCCCGTAGCCCCGGGCGGCACTCGGAGCGCCGGCCACGGACCCCCCCGCTCCTGCCTGCCGCGGCCCGACCCCAGCCCCGCGGCGCCCCGCACCCGAGCCCCGCCGCCCCGGCGCGGCTGTCAGCTGGTGCCGGTGACAGGGAATGAGCAGCGGGCAGGGAGGAGGGGGCTGCCCGCAGCAGCCGGTGCTGCTCACCTGGGAAATCACCGAGGAGGAAGGAGGGAAGCCCTCCCGGTGCCCTTGTTGTTGTTGTTGCTGCTGCTGCTGATCCCGCCGGGCGCTCGTGTTGCTCCTTTGCTAAGGGCTCGCCCGGAGTGAGGCGGCTCGCGGTGCTTCTTTATATATAAAGACAGACAGAGATATTCCAGCGGCCAAGGGGCGCCCGCTTCACGCGTTTATCTTAAGGCAGGTCATTCCTCTCCCTCTTTTTGGAAAGGCTCATCACCATCTCCCTGACAGTGGCGGAGGGGCTGGTGTTGCACGGGGGAGAGGCGGAGGCCCGGGAGCCGCAGCCCGCCCTGGCCGCGGCGGGAGGGAGCGCTCCGCGCTGCAGGCGGCTCCGCCGGGCTATTCCTGGCACCACTTCCCAGAACAGAAGTTACAGGGCGGCGAGCGCGGAGCGAGCGCGGGGAGCGCGCCGCCCGTGACGTCACCGGGTCCCCCCGCGCGGCGGCGGGAGCGCTCCCGGGCGCGGTGCTGGGCGCTGCCCGCCCTGGGAGCTGCGCGGGGCGGGAGCCGCGGGAGCTCCGCGCCGGGGAGGGCGCGCACCGAGGAGGCAGGGCCTCGCAGGGCGAAGCCGCGGCCTCTCCCCGCCGGCGGAGATCGCCGCTCCCCTCCCCCTCCCCGCCGAGGGAACTCCCAGGAGAGCCAGTCCCGACTTGCCGTGCGCAAGCCGTGCGTCCTCCCGGCCTGAGAATTTCCTCCGAGGACGCGGGATCCTCCTGCCCCCTCCCCTCCCTCCGCTTCCTTTCTCTCCCTCCCCCGGCCCCTCCACCCCCTCGCTCTCGCCCGGCCGAGATCGCGTTATCTGTCAAGGAGAACAATACACCGCCGGGGCTCCCCGTGCCGGCCGCCGGCCCCGGCTGTGCAGCGGAGCCCGGGTCTCCCCCGGGCGGGGACCACCCCGACCCTCGCTCACCCTCAGCACGTGGGCCCGGAGGAGGGGCGCGCAGCGGGCCGGCCCGGCGGGGCTCGCCGCCGCCCCGGAGGGCAGGCAGCCCGCCGCGCCGCCCCGGGCTGTGCCGCAGCCATACGCATTTATTGCAACACCCGCCCGCCGCCAGCGCCGCGGCCGAGCGGAGCGAAGCGCCAGCCCCGGGAGCGACCCGCGCCGCTGGGAGGGAGGGAGGGCGGGCGGGGGACGCGGGCGGCCGCGGCGCCGCACCGGGTAACGGGGCTCGCAGCCCCCGCCGCCGCTCACGGGGCTGCCCGCGGCCAATGGGGGCCCGCAGCGCCCGGGGCGGCGGGAGGGGCTCGGCCGGGCCGGGGCCGGCGGCGGGGTCGCTCTCCCGCAGCAGCCCCCGGCCCCGGGGCAGAGAGGCGCTGCAGGGGAAATTCCCTCCCGGCCGGGCGAGGCGGTACCCGTGCTTCCTTGAGACATCCCTCTGCCCTTCCGCGGTGGTCGGGAACCCAGCACGGGTTTTCGGAGCCTTCGCCGAAGCAGAACCTGGCCCTGGTCCCGCACCGACACACGCCCCGGGTCCTGCCGCTCACACTATCTTTGAGTTAGTTAAGCCTGAGCGCGATTCCGGGGAACAGCGTTTGTATTCCTGAGATTTGCCACGGCTGCTTGGAGAGTGAAGCTCAACCGGCTGGTTCCCTCTCCCGGCCGCTCCGACAGTGCGGGGGTCCCTTGCCTGGCCTCGCCTGCTTTGGCTTTGCCGTGGCACCGGAGCCCGCTGGGTTTTTGACAGCAGGTCTTCACTTACTTTTCAGAGTAAATTTTCTTTTGGGGAATCCATTCAGCCGCGTTTACAGGTTACTGGAAGTTGATTTGAAGTGATGCCAACTCGCAGCACCATCACAGTGACATCGAAAGTCATACTTGGCATCTGAGATTATTCTTTTGACTGAAATCAAGAAAAAAATCTGTCTCGTGGATGAAAAGGAAAAAGTTTACACATAAATCCTGAAAACAATGGTTCTTATGGTAGATGCCAGAGTAAATAAAACCATTATTTCATAATTTTAGTAGCTAAGAATTTTAAGTTGTTCATGTATCTTTTAGGGACTAATAACAACTCAGTGCTCAGAGCTGGCAATACAGGGACATAAAAGGGCATAGAATCCATTAATAAAAATCTCATGCTACCGTGGTCTTTGGCCCCTGTTTATTTTGGTGACCTCTGAGTCAGGTTCATAGTGCTTCATTTTGCTCAATCCAGGAGATGCAGGATACTCTTAGGATTTCTTGGGGTTTCCCTCAAGTTATATAGGCACAGGATGATGTGACCATAATTTCATGATAAATTATGACTTCTTTTACAAATGAGGCTTGCTCCTACAAGCATGTTCAATACTGAGAGGGCTGAACAAAGAGGGTTTTGCTCCTTGTTACATCCATGAGCATGTCTGTCTTTGTTTTCCTGATTTTGGTGTGATACTGTCATTCCTGACACTGAGTATTGTTTGACTGGAATTATTCTGTCTGAGCAAACATATTGACTTTGGGCTTGTGATCTTTATTTGATGTCATGTTAGAATAAGTCAATAGGAAATGGGAGTGCTTAGGATTTGTTTCAAATTGAGGTTTTCCCATCCTGCTACAAGAGCAGCATTTATCTCTGCCCCCAAACGATGGCTGCCAGTATCTTCCCCTCTGGGAGGCTGCAGACTCCTGACCAGCACCTTTGACTTCTTTGTGTATGCCCTGCGTTGTCATCCTCTCTCCTCCTTCTCACAAGACTCCAGAAGTTCATTTTTACTGTCACAGAAGGTACAGCAACAAGGTTCAGTGTTCAAAATAGGAGTTTGTTTACGATCAGTCTCAAAGCAAAGTAAAAAAATGCTTCTCCATAATGCCTTTCAAAATAAGGGTCTTTTTCCAATTACATTGGTTACCTCAAGAAGCCATACTGTGTGCGCTTTCCCACATTCTCTTGGTATTGCACCATCTGAGCCAAAGCCATTTCCTTCACTGTGGCTCTACAAGGTATGTGCTGGAGCTACAACTCTTCAGCACATTGGTGTTTCCAGGGGAGAGAGTGAAGCTATACCTGTGCTCACAGAGAGACCCTCACTGTTCCACAAAATATGTTTGGCTCAAGCTCCAGAGCAGGTTTTGACAGGCTGCACAACTTGCAGCTGCAAGGGTCCTTAGCTTGGAGGAGACCTCCCCAGCCAAAGAGGCACGGAGTCCTCACAGGGTTCCTTCAGCCCTCTCCCTCTTTGTGCACGGTTATAGGGGAGTGGGTGTAACTGAGCACAGACTGACCTTCATCCCCGACTGCTGCCCCTTTCCCCTCCCACGGGGAGCAGGAGGCAGGAGCACTGTCCCACAGGGGACTGCAGCTGCTATGCCAGGGTAGTTTTCCTCCCAGACTCCTGCCACTGACTCCGCAGAGAGGCATCAGACATCTGAATCACTTTCTCTCGCCTACTCATGGCAACAACATAACTTAATGATGATGTCCTTGCTTCATACCATCCTGTCATTTCCCCCTAGATTTTTTTTCTATGTTTACACCCAGCATTTAATAAAACTATCACTCTAACAAAGAAGATAACTAAGGGAGGTCTCAGATGTAAGATTTACAGCTGTTATTTAAATATAGATTTTGCAGATTCATCAAAAAATAAGTCATTCTTAATGCTTGGAAAGCACCTTGGCCGTGACAGCTTCAGCTCACAGCAAACACAACATACAATGATAATATTCAGCAATGATGTTCACAGATTATTAAATGCTATAAATTATTCTGAAAATTTGGTTTGATCTCAGAGCACACAGAATCCATCAGTTTTGTAAACTGTGCTGCTCTCAAAGTAGATAATAGAAAGCATTACATAATTTTTCTATAATAATGCAGTTGAACTGGAATGTTAAACAACCATTCATTCCTAAAATAGCTAATGATTTTAAAAGAATTCATCCTTTCTTAAGAAAAAATTACTTTGTCCCCAAACCTGTACCCACAAGCTCATTACTATTCTTCACAAAGTTGCTACAGATAGAACTGCAGCAAACGGGACAATTCCTTTATATAAGGCATTGATACCTCTTAACTGTGAGCAGTGTAAAACAAAATTGACCAAATGTATCCAATTTTCTGAAAGTCTCTGAGGGTAGGAGTGCAAAACAAAATTAGTGGTGTTATTTTGCTGTTTAGATCCTGTTTCTTAAGGTTTGATTAAATTAGAAAATCTATGGGAAATCTATGGGAATCTATGTGAATGGCTTTCCTCATCAATAAAGATGAGGAGTTTTCTACCAGTAATGTTTAAAACACATTGTTCTTGTTTATACAGGAGTTTCCTCCCATATTCCTTCTCCCATTTTTCTGACCTGCTGTTTCTCTGCTCATCAGAGAGAGAAGGGCCCTGAGCTGGGTGCTGGGCGATGAACAGCCTGCAAGAGTGAGGGTCCCAGCCCCCAGTCCCTCCCAGGGACACATGGAGAGCCTGAGAGGGCATACCCAGCGGCTCTGGGGCCAGCAAGGAGGGTGACAAGGGAGACCCTGATGGATCAGAAGAGTCGGCAAGAGTACTAAAAGGGCTGCATTTGCCTCTGACTTTACTTGGGGTGTCAAATACATCACAACATCCATTTTAAGAGCAGTACTAATTCAGGTAACTGATTTTTTACTTTAAGAGATACCTACCTTCTACTGACCATCTCAAGCTCTTCTCAGAGATAACTAGAAGCTATAAGTTTCACGTATCATTTAATATGATAAAATGCATTTCCTGCCACAGCATTCCACTTTCTCATTTGTACATATCGCTTTCCTTTTGCTCAAGTGCCATCTTATCATATGAGAAAAGAGGAAAAGACACTGCCATTTCACCCTCTCAACACCTCTTCCTATGTGTTCCTTGAATCCAGGCTGCTGTATCTTGTTTGTCTACTCTCCTACGTAAACAAGGGTAATCTTTCCTCATAGGGGAGTGTGCCCATGACTCCTCCACAGAACACAAAGGAGTCACAGTGAAGCACTCCTTTATGCGCAACAGCTCCAATCTCATACAGTATCAAATGGTGTGAAGGAGCACAAGCCAAGGTGGTTAGCTTGAACAAGCCTGTGTGTAAATAACTCTGGCAGAGGGCCCAAAGGAAGGGGAGTCCTGTTTGCCTGCTAATGAACAAATGGCTGTATTTCCTGAAGGAAAAATATTTTTCTGCTATCTTGAGATTTCCTTAAAAAAAAAAAAAAGTGATTTTCTCCACATAAAGTATTTCCAGATGCAGAACTAACATGCTGTGTGCATCAACTACTTGATAATAACATGTCATCACTTGACCTTGGAAGAGGGTGAAAAAATGAAAAAGGCAGAATTTTCTGAAATTATGCCCTTTCATGGGAACATTTTTTAAGCCAGTGAATCCTGGGAAACTGTTTTTTAAATAAAATTTGATTACTTTTACTCATTTTAATTTTTTTCATAGCTAATTGACTAGCTGAATAGGAAAATCTACTCTGCTGACTCGAAACTCAGGCAAGGGATTATGTGCACTTCTCATGTGAGATAAATAAAGCTTGTAAGTTCTATAGCCAGGTTCTATTTGCTTGTCCTTTTTAACACAATTCAATTAAGTTTTGAAAGACTTTTAGGCATTTAAAAAAATATTTTGCCTTGCTGACAAGTGGAACATGTTACCAAGCACTGGTTATTTATCTTTAAATATAAAGTATTAGCTCTTGCAATTTTCTATACTGGACTCAGTTCTCCCCCTCACCCTGCCCCATTTTTTATAGGAACAACTGAAGTAAGAGCCTGCCAAAAGCATGACATGATTTAGCAACTTCTGAGTTATATATAACCTGACTATTAAGTGACTTAATTTTCTAATAGCTTACCTATTTTTATTCCCATTAGCCCTGATAGCCTTTCATTTAGCATTCTTCTCAAACAGGCAACTCTTTTGCATCATCTTCCAATTGAAAGAAACCTCCAGTGCTTCATGCATAGAGAATTTAATGTATGGGCTGGAGAGAGCAGAGGGGCAGGCCACTCTTAACAGTGAGTAGTGACACCTTGAAAACAGAGTAAAGAAGAGATCTCAAAATGGCAGGGGGAACTTTGGATAAGAAAAATTGCATTAACTAAGTTGCAGCTATCTAGAATTTCACCACATTATCCTATCTCCATAACTCCTCTGGCACATGTCATGGGAACCTTCCTAACCACATTGGTTACCTTCCTGGTTTTGCATCCCTGGAATCTTCCCACAGGCAAGCGCCCCAAGCATCCTGCAAATACTTTCCTTCTCAACTGATTGAGAGGGAAGTGTGCCACCTACTGAAGGACCTCAGCCACTTTCTATATGTCTTTGACTTTCTTAAGTTCTTTCCCATTTCTGAACTTTCCAGGCCTTCACACTACTGATTTGAATTAGAAATTAGTCTTTGGTTTATGAAAGTTTGTAAACTCATCAACTGGAAGGTCATGAATATGGACATGAGCAAATGTAATCCAGGCTGATTCCATCTAATTCATGTGTAAGCAGCATAATTTGATAAATCATCTGAAAGCAGTTACTCCTACACTGCCACTTTTTGCCAGAAATGAGATAAATATCAAGAATTATCTCTACAAATGTAAGAAAATACTCGATTTGTAGATAATTAGTAAAACACACAGATGAGGTGGCAGTACTGACATACATGTTATTTGCAGTTTAGGTGTTAGTTAGGCATTTTTAACAAATGAGTGAACAGCTTCACTGCCAGGCATTAGCTGCCTCTGATGGTGGGTGCACTTTGTTCAAGTTATCATTTGGTTGAACAAGCTCAAAGCAAACTTTACACAGCTGCTGTCATAACTTGCTCTTTGACACACCTAGAGAGTCTCCTTTGGTTACCTGAGCCTTACACCACTGAGTTATTCATGCACAGTAATGCATTATTTCGGCTACCAAAAAAGTTGGAACAGATGTCAGTGTTGTTTCAAGTGTTGTAATAGTGGATCATCATAAATAAATAATTTAAGACCAATTTATTTTATTAATATCTATGAAACCGCTCAACTGAAAAATGCACAGTGTTGAGGTTCATCAGAGACTTTCACTTTTGAGTCAGCAATATAAATTCTATTATATGCACTACAATAGATGATCAAAACTTCTAAAATTGTGATTCACTGAAATTAGCAGATAATATATGCTTTTAAAGTTTCTCACACTTCTGTAATGAACTGATTTATTCGTAAGAAAGATTGTTCTCAATAATTCTCAATAAGAATGTCATCAAAACTTCTGCTGGAATGTAAGAAATAAAATAATGCAGTTTAGAGTAAATATCTTAATGGATTAACAGTTTGAGGATGTGTAAAATAAAATTTGAAGTGTTTCTACCAGTTTTGTTAGTCTTAACCAACATGGTACCAATGTACCATGTCATATGGTACATTAAAATCTCTGTAATACTTGAATCTCGACCATTCAAGGTTTCACAAATGTAAGACATAGAAGAAAAATAAAATTCATTGTCAGCAAGAGCAAAACAGGGAGAAATCTAACTCTAGACTCACCATCATGTCTATACCTACTATCAGTTAAAAAAGTTCTGCAAGTCATTGCAGACAGTCCAGCAAAACTATCAGCCCAGTGACCGATGCAAGCACCGTTATCAGAGTAATTCAGAAACAAAAGAGATAAAAAAGTGTTACACCTGTATAGATGCAGGTGGCACACACCAAATACTCTTCTGCTCAGGCACAATCTGAAAAATAACATGATGCCATCTTTCCCATCTTTCTTCTTTCCTATCAAGAAAGTGACGAGGTTCAGCAGATTTAACAGGCAAAAAAACCCCACTTAACACAGCACATGGCAGAAGTGTAGACCTGAGGGAGAAGAATGCTGTGGGGTGCCTGACTATGAATGTCTGAAAACAAGATTGGCCTCACTAGCTGTGAGACAATCCCTTACTGGCTGTTAAAAAAAGCTCATATATGTGCAGATGCTTAGGGGTCAGTCCCTAAACCACTCACTGACTGGCAGAAGTGGGTGTATCATGGAAAAACTATAGGAGATTAAAAGAGGAAATTCTTTCCCTAGGTAGTGTAACTGGCCACACTTTGAGGACAACAAATTACATGGAGTTCTCATCTGGCTGAAATCGTGGCAGCTCTTATCTTCCTACTAATTTATGGTGGGTTGTTTCAGGGGGCTTTTTCCAGTCACAACTGGCCTTTCTTTCTGCAAATGTCTGACAACTTTTGGGCTTTTAAAATTATTTTCAGTTTCAAAGACTGTATGGAGAAGCATTCAATGAAAATTTCAGTTCATCCTTGAATTATTTTTCTTTTTCATAATGGAAGAGACATTGCAGAGCATGTTGTATTTTCTGGTTTAAAATCCAAAATGCATTAAAGATCTCCAACAAATTACTGATTTGTCATAATGTAACCAATTCTAATAGCCAAAATATCAATATTAACTCTATTTCCTGAATACCGCAGATTTGTAAATGGAAAATACCCAGGCAGCAAACTTTGTATTACCTGAGTTTTTAAACTTATAATATTTTTGAGCCATTGGCAGCCCAACTAGGTGTTCAGCATATGTCTTGCATTTCAGAATCCATACACCATTCATCTGGAGTAAAGAAATATGAAGGAGATGTGAGTCATTAATCATATTCAGGAAACAGGTTTCTGAAAATTAATACATGACCAGTTGCCAGTAAGTAACCATCTGCTACATATATGAAAAAAAGTATGTTCTAAAGCTACATATTTTAATGATAGTTTTAAAATGTTCAAATTGTAAATGGTAATGGAAACAATGTTTCTCTAAAGGAATGTCTAAGATCGCTCAAGACCCACCAAGGGCTGCACAATAATTCTGATCAATGGGAGCTAGGTAAAATTGCACAGACAGTACAGTACAGACAAGTCTGAAGTCAAGCTGGTGTGTAAAGGCATAATTACTGTTAAGTGCAGGAATAACCTTTGTGATTTCAGTGATGTTCACTTGGGTTAAAGTTAAACAAATGCTTAAGTGTCCTAGACTTCACAGTTCTGTGCCCTCCATCCTTTCTCACAGGCATTGACATTTCTCGCACACCTCTAGGAGCAGACATACAGTTTGGCCCCATCTCTAGTTGACTATAAGTATGCAAGTACATGGTTTTCTTAAGTTTTGAAAATTTTTGGATTTTTCAAGCGGGTGGACACTATTAATTCAAAGAGGCTACATTCATTGGAGGTTGTCAGTTAACAATTTGAGTTGTAATCTCAGTATGTGTCACCACTGCATCACTGCTGGGGGAAGGAGAGGGAGGGGGGGCAAAGAGTCGAATTGTGTTCTTGGTCAATAAAGACATTGTCAGACTGTTTAAGAAGCATATTTACCCAAAAACTAAGAATGGAAATTGCCAGCACAATTACAATGTTTTGGCAAGGAACTAGCATGAAGCCTGGGAAAAGTATGTTTGTGGATACCAACATGTATAAAAAGAGATTCACTCCTGGGCTTACAGCAGTGCTCCTTCCTCAAGGTCTGTGGACTGTAGAAATTAATAAAACAGCAAATTCAAAGTTCTGTCCTAATCTTCACTTAAACTGTAATTATATTTGAACAATCCAGAAACTTTTTATACTGCAGAAAGGTTGGCAGCAGATAACCCTATGTGCTATGAGCAATAGGCACTCACAGCCATATAATAAATTAAAAACAAACCTCTCTGCTGCAGGTAGGTATAAAGGTCTGTTAAATATTTTAGGTGAAATTCTTTTCTTTCAAAAGATCAAAATTGCATCTTCAGCTTCTGTGTACAAACCAAAATATGACTAAAGATAGTTGATGATTGTAGGCAACAGATATTCTAAAATGTAATTTAACTCTGATTTTGGTCAAAAGATACAATGTAAAAAATATTCTAGCAGCCAGATACAACGAGAAGTAGGATATCTTATGGTGGGGGAAAAAAATCTCTGAAACCAACAGAACAGATTGGCCAGTCCTCTTCAGTACCAGTCATCTATTCTCATCCCAGCAGAACTTCAGAGATTGGTAGGTATTAGCCATTTACATCAATATAACAAGATATTGCCTACATACTCTGTACCCTTCAAGATCCCACAACTGAAGAAAAAGGTTTGTGGAATGCCTGACAAACTTGTAAGTACTGAGAAAACAAAGAGTTTCAAGTTTTGCTTCAGTGAAATGCTGTTAGTGAAATTATGAGTAAAATCTTCTGGTTAAAGAAATATTTGGGGCCAACAAATCAGGTATCTGGTGAACTCAATTTGTCTACAATTTGGGATCTTCACTTACACTGTCTCGGAACTACTAGCTGACTTACAGTGCAGTACTCACAAGCTTTTTTATATCCCTTATCTACCTCTCCAAGGCCACAGGAGACAGGACAGCAATGAGAAATGGTGCAGAACTAGATTTTTCCTCCATACCCTAGGTT